TCATTAATGAATATCAAATATAATGCTAATAGGAATGACATTATTAAATGACTTGAATTTGATGTTTTAGTGATAATTGAAACAAAACTAATTCTTAATTTAGAAATATGTTTCATATGTTTCATCTCTCTTATGAGAAAATTATGTTGTTTTCCTTAAACTCAGTGCACTTATCATTGGTAAAAGTCACGCGTTTAATGAAAACGTAACCAAAACACGCAAAATATGCTAATAAATGCACTCCTGGGTACAATATCTTCGTCGAAATAACACCAAAAATAAATTATTTAATTTATTTCATTAATGACATTAGTACATAAGCTATTATTCTTAAGTCTTAATATATTTTGTGACTTATTTTTGAATTTATTGATTGAGTTTCCCATACAAACGCAAATATAAAAGAAAATGAAATTGAGTTTACAATTCAGTTTAAATCCAAAGTTTTTTGCATAAAAGTTGTTACAAAACTAACTTAACTTCAAAATGAATAAAAGTATGATTAAATTGATTGCATTTTTACTGCTATTGAGTGCCATCTCATGCGATGTGGACCCCGAAGAAGCGGAATCCTTGCCATCACTTCCGTCGATGAATGAGAATCCCCTCCAAAAGCCGGCCCGAAAACCGCCCCGTTTTGGCAAACGAGCCCTTTATCTACTGTACCCCTATTCAATCAATGAAGAGACGGGTGAATTCAAGATTCACAGGGATTTTGGACGCGATCTCACCTCTCAGATGGTCTTACGGGCCCTCAAAGCCCATAAAACCTCCAAATATAACAGCAATTGGTTTTGACTTAAGAAGTTTTCATCAATTTTTTATATGGCGTGCATTAATCATTAGTTTCTATCATTTGATTAAAAATTATATTGACTTCAAGTCGATTGGCAATAGACTGGTTAGTAAGTGTATATAATATTATTAGCATAAATGCTATTTAAAGGAGAGGGAGGTGGAAATGGAGACCAAATTGGTTTTATTCATATCTTTACAATTTTTACTTTTGGGAGACCATTGAAATTGAATCCCTCGCATAAATCAATCAAAATCTCAATTTAAATATGTTTTTCTAATTACAGGTTTTGATTATTAGACGATTATATCTCACAATAACACAAATCTGTTCATTTAGTCGACTATTTCTTAGAGTTGATTACTATTAGAGGAGAAGTAATCATAATTCCGGAGTCACTCCCCGACCGAAAACTTTCCCAAACTTTCCCAAACATTCCTCAACAATGAGTACATAATTCATGAATTATTTATCACTCGTCTAATGGTTACCATTTGATGACACTATTGTTTGGGTTAGACTTTCCCCTTAACTAATTCAGACTAAATAATTATAATAGCGAATCGCTTATTTATAATCATAAGTTTGTATTGTACTTAAGGAAATAATATTTCAATTACCATGATAGCAATTTTCATGCCTCGCTGTTGAATTAAATAGTAAATTAATTTTTATGATTTGTATTTTCTATTTTAATAAATATTTGTTTAATTGATATTTTATAATAAAGTAATTATTTATTCAAAATATACCTATTTGTGTGGTTTATTATGCACTTTAACTTGTTATTAAAAACCGAGAGTTGAACTTGAAATACGGCAAACTCTGGCAAAAATATTAGTGTAATTTGTTTTTTATTGCTTACATAATAAATAGCAAAAAGGCCATAATTTTCATTTGAGGCAATTTCGTACCGTAAATGGCTATTAAGTTACGGGAAACATGCATTTTTTATTTAAATATTAACATTAGTTTACGTTTAATAGTTTTGTTCACTTCTTTTGTTTTGAATAATTCATTACATATTTGAAAAGAAATGTTTTATTGGTTTCCTACGAAATGATTGAATACTTGTATTATGTCTACTCAACCAATATTGCCGTAAATTGCAGTTCGGGTGCAATCAGTGCCTATGACTGCTGTCTGTATACTACCAGTCAATCCTCAGGGGGTAACTCCTTGTCTAATATTATTGTCTAATTTAACACTTGATTGAAATTTATTCAATACAACAGACCCTATACTACCCTGATATTATTTTCCAATCTATACCCACACTTCACAGAATTTCTCTCAATTTGTCTTTATTTGATAATTATTTTCAAATTAAAGGTAAAAATATTTTGCACTTAGATTTAAAAACAGAGTACTTAGTTTGTGATTTTGTTTTGTAATGTATCTAGTAATAAATGATATAATATGTTTCACAACCTTGTTTCCATTGTTAACTTTATTAGACTTATTCTACTCACCAGTCAGTAAAAATAGATAGCATTTGTCATAATGTTATCTCTATGGGAATAAAGTAAATGGTATTCCTGCGACACAACAAAGTCAATGCTTTTCAACACATATTCATTTGATAATATCAAACATTTCGTCTTAAACCCGATTTTTATGCAATTAAAGGAGAATTACTTAAAATATATCAGTCTTTCAAACTGTGTTCACAATATTAGCAAATGTTTAGAGATTCACTAGTTTTGAAAACTGGAAAAACAATTTTATTTAATTATGAGTCTTTCTCTAAAACTATCATTTGGCGAATGAAATCTGCAGTAAATCTAAATGCAATTTATAAATTGAATTTAAGTTTAATTATGGAATTTAATTATTGTATTTAAAATATGTGTTTATAATGATCAAAACAGCATGGTTATTTTATTTTTATAATTTATGGTACCGAAATTATTCACATTCAAAGAGTTGGTCTCTCGACTATACTTTGGCATATATTTTCGGGTAAATTTTCTAATAATTACATTAAATTCAATAGTTTTATCACTCATATCTGATAAAAATGTGTTTTCTAACTCGAAATTTGGTTTCAGAACACACTTTAACCAGATTTAGACCAATAACCCACGATTTAACCCATTTTTACGGTAATGCTTTCTAACGTGAAGTTTATCTCAAGCTATACATAGCTTATTTCTCCATAGAGATTTTTGAAAATGCCAAACTTTATTTGGGAAACCAACTCTTTGAATGTGAATAATTTCGGTACCACAAACGATAAAAATAAAATAACCACGCTGTTTTGATCATTATA